TTTCAATAGATATTGATGAAAAATGAAGAAAACGAGTTAAAGAATGCTTACCCAAGAAACTTTGGTGAAGAAATGCTTCAAAAATTGCCTAGGAGCTTTGGAGAAGAAAGGGTTTATGAAAATGTTATGAAATCCCGTTTGTGGTTCTGTTTTGGAACTTTAAAATAACTCGGCAAAATGACTCTACGCGTTCGCGATAGACCTCTCGCGTTTGCGAAGGGTCAGGCTTTTTGGCCTTCGCGTTCGCGGATAGGGGCTCGTGTTCGCGAAGCTGTAGCTCCTCGAGCCCTTGCATTAGCGTAAGGTGTTCTACCCATTCCCCCTGCCCAAGCACTTGGCCTTTGCGTTCGCATAGCCAGGAACGCGTTCGCGAAAGTCTAGCCCCCAGCTGCATCGCATTCGCGACCTGGTCTATGCGTTCGTGTAGAAGGGAATTTCCTCCAGCAAATTTACTCACCGCGTTCGCGAGGGTTCTCCTGCGAACGGGAAGAAGACCATACCAGAACTGGAAACCTGCAACTTTCATAAGTCTAAAACCACTTCGAAACACTCCCGATCCCTCGGGGCTCCTAATCAAACACATGCACTAACTCAACATCATCATACGAACCTATTAGTGCGATCAAATCGCCTAAATAACCTTAAAAATAATGAATTAAACCTCAAAATCAAGAATTTTTCCAAATATTTCATCAAGTTTCAAATTTAGGATTTCAAGTCCGAAACACGTCAAACGACGTCCGATTTTTACCAATCTTTACAGAAACATCTTAAATCATATATAAAACCTGTATCGGGCACCAGAACCAAAATACTGGCCCGATACCAACACGTTCTAATCAAATTTCATTTCAATTTTCCTTAACAATTTTAGAAAAACAATTTCCTTTAAAAATTCATTTCTCGGGCTCGGGACCTCGGAATTCGATTCCGGGCATATTCTCGAGTCCAATATTTTCCTATGGACCTCCGGGATCATCAAGATACGGGTCCGGGTCCATTTACCCAAAATGTTGACCAAAGTCAAATTTATTCATTTTAAACTCAAAACTTAGCATTTTTCACAAAATTTCATATTTAAGCTTTCTGGCTACGCGCCCGGACTGCGCACCAAATTGAGGCGACTCTAAATGAGGTTTTTTAGGCCTCGGAAGCACATAATGATACGAAACAGGTGATGACTCTTTTGGTCGTCACAAATTGTAATCCGAAGTGTGTAAGTTTTATTCAAACACTCTTTTGAAGGAATAAATATTTAACAACCTAAGAGCAATTCGATTCGATTGGAACCTCGATTCTTTGTTGTGATGTTCCCGTCAATGTTTTGAGGATTCAGATAAGTTTTGATAATGAATTTGTATATGTCGGTATGATTGGATGGGGTCTCGAGGGGCTCGGTATGTTTTGGATCATTGGTTGAGAGACTAGTTAAGTTAAGGATTTGGAGTTTGACCATGGTTAATATCGGGTCAAGATGACCTCTTTTCAGTATTTCGAGTGTGCGAGCACGTTTGTAGCATGTTTTATTATCGAAATGTATATATGGTTTGTGTGTGAGAGGTTCCGAATGAGTTTTGGGTGCTAAAACGAAGATTTTTTTTATTACTGATTTTCTGGTGTGAATAATTACGAAAATACTATTTATGTCCCTGAAATTTTTATACTTCCTTTAAAACTTCAAAACATCATATATTCCTCGTTATAAAGCCAAATTGGGTGATTCAAAAGTCTATCTTGGATGTAATCTCACAAGGATTATATTGGGCTTATTAAATTTGATTTTTAGGGTCATCTAGGATCTGATTCAAACTGGAACAACTGCTGTATTTTTTACTTGTTCTGGAATTTAGCAACTTTTTCTCACAAGGTTTTGGAGTTCGGATTTGAGAGATTTTGGAGGGTATTTTTACAATGTAGATTGGGGTGAATATTTTTGACTCGGATTTGTTTATATTTCATAATTCCAACCTTGAATTTAGTGATTGTTTGATGAATCAAATTAAAGAAATTAGAGATTTTAATAAAAATATTTCTAAAATATAAATTGATGATTTGAGGGTTGATCTGAGATCGGATTTGGATGAAACACATATGTTTGGACTCGTATTGGAATGGGTGTTCGGAATTTATGAGTTTTATCGGGTTCCAGACTGCGAGTTCGAGGTTGACCTTTTGGGTTAACTTTTCTATTTTAGTCAAAGATCGAAACTTTATTATTCAGAATAGTTTGCTATGGCTTTTGTTTATGATGTTAAGTTATTTTGGCTAGATTCGAGTCATACAGAGGTTGATTTACGCGGGAAGGGCTTCTTAGAGTGTTAATTTAGCTTACTTGTGATAAGTGTCTTCCCTAGCTTTGTTGGAGGAATTTTTTCGAATAAAATGATATTGTTTTCTATATGCGGGGGTGGTGTATATGCGAGGTGACGAGCGTATATGCATGTTCTAGGATTATCCATGATTGGGTAGATTATAGGATTCTTTGTGCCTTGTAGGACTATGTTATTTTCTTGCCTCATGTTTAACTTGACTTCTATAATAATATGAATATGAATTTCAATTCTATAAACCATGATTCAGATTGTCATAACTAGATTAAATTTGATGGCCTCTTTGTGAAACTGTTGATGTATTAAATTTGGTCATCACTATACCTAATCACAAAATACATGTCTATGACCATAATTCTAAAGTACGTGGGTTCCATACTATGTTGAAAAATATGTTTGAGCTTTGTCGAGATATTTAAACAATAGGATTCTTGAGGTTTGTTGAATTGTTTATTAGTTCGAGAGCTGTGATTGATGTTCACGTGGTGTATTTGCTTAACCACTCTTCTTGATGCTATCCATGCTTCCTACGTTGCCTGTCATTGATATACATGTACTTGGTGAGGAAGAGTGTAAAGCATGAAGCGTGATTCCGTGCCATTGCATAAACATTGTCATATGAGAAAGAGTGTAAAGCACGAAAGGTCATGCTGTGCCATTGCATATACATTATTAGTGAGGAAGAATGTAAAGCACGAACGATGATGCCGTGCCATTTCATATACATTATTATGCACGAAGGATAATGCCGTGCCATTGTTATACATTATCATGTGAGAAAAAGTGTAAAGCTTGAACATTGATGTCGTGCTATTGCATATATATATATTATCATGTGAGGGAGAAAGTAAAGTATAAAGGATGATACCGTACCATTGCATATTAATTTATACCTTCATTCCAAGTTGTCATTGCTGCACCTATGCTTTCTATGTGCTTCTTCTTCTTGTTGTTGTTGTCATGTCTTTGCCTCCTACCTTAATTGTTTATCTGGTCACAATTATGATTTTCGTCTTGTTTGTTATATTTACACCTATGCCTTTCCTTGTTTGTTATGCTCCATCTAAACCTTCTAATTGCTAGACAATGAAATTTATATTCTCTTGTTTTGATTGCTATGATTACTTTTGTGCTTCCCACCCTGCCTATTACCGTTATCCGTATACTCTGCCTTGTTTTATATTGTATTTTTCACTTTGCTGTTACTGTTATTGGCATTCCTTATCAATGGTTGGTACTGTTACACATATGCTTGGTGAGGATGTGATAAATGTATGAAGAGTGTTATCGTGCCAATTGATTTGAGATACATTCATATATTTGGTAAGGACGAGATAAATGCACGAAAAGTGTTGCCATGTCATTTGACTTGATACCTTGAACGCATTCCTCATACTATGAAGAATCGTGGATTTACTATGTTATTTGGTGGTTATCGCTTTAAGAAAAGGATGTGTTATGATATTGAGAAAACTGACCATGATTTCTTTTAGTAATCATTCATTGCTTTGCATATTTATTCTTGTACTCTTCGCTATTATTTCTAGTATCAATTCTATTGCAAATCTAACTGAACACATTATATTAGTATCTTCTGAGTAAAAAATCTCGCCACTATTTCACCGAAGTTAGTTAAGATGCTTACTGAGTACATGGGGTCGATTGTACTCATACTACACTTCTGGACTTTACGTGCAGATATTCAGCGAGGTACAACTATATAGAGTTCGTGGGCCAAGCATTGAAGACGTATCGGCACTCCAGATACAAGCTACCATTTGTTCGCGGTAGTTTAGGATTTATATTTCTGTTTATATAAATTTAAAACAAATGATGTATCTTTCCTCAAACTGAAATTATAATCTTATTCGTAGTCGCTCGTGACTTGTACTACCAGTCCTTGGAAACTTGTACAGAATTCAGTTATTTTATTCTTGGTATTATTGATCTTTCACTTGAGTTACGTTATTCTATGTTAGGCTTACCTAGCACTAGGTTAGGTGTCATCACGACTAGGTGGATATATGGGTCGTGACACTCTAGCAATTATAGAAAAGGGTATAACGGGTACACAAAAAATAGTTAAGTGTCCATAATGCCGTCGAAGCTCAGATGAAATATCTTAATTGTCCCCATTTTGGCCACGCTCATTGTGGCCATAACGATTTTTCCTTTTTATATAATTTTGAAATTTAAAGGCATCAGTAAGAATGAATTATATATGGCAAACATGATATGATCAATGGCTCTTTCGCAAATACCAGTATCTCTATTCCATGAGGAATTTCATTTAGAATAATCTAATAATTACAATATAATTTGCACATATATTGGCAATGGCCAATATGGTAGAGTTATACCCCTATGACAACATGGGAGATCTTGCTCCATTTGACCATAAAATTTGAGAGGCAACTCAGGGCAAAGAACCAATATACTTCTTCATCTTTCACGTGGAACAAAAATAAAGAACACATAAATGAGGAGCTAAATGGGCAAGACAGAGCAGTGTTAAACGAGGTAGGACAGGATTGGATCTAAATAGAGCAGTGAGTTAAATGGGGCATGGCATGGCCAAACCTTAGTAGGGGAAGACTTAACTCCCCTACCCGTGCACTTTGCCCTGTCCCGTTTCCATTCCTAAAGAAACCTAGAAAGACAACAAGCCTATTTACTTGGAAGAGTGATGACAAGGCTAAGAAAACCAAGCCATTGACAACACCTCATGTTGATATAGACAAAAAGAAGGTTGAGGAATGTAACAAACTACAAACAATTGATGCAGCGTTTATTATCACTAGGATTATTTCCTGTAACCACACGTGCACTAAATAAACTCAACTCCCGGGATTAGTAGTCATCGCGTGATTCTCTAAATCCACCATAGTTATCTTCATTACTTCTGCTGTAGTCTTCGCGCGATTTTCGACGTCCACCATGATTATCGTCATCACTTCCACTGTAATCATTGCGTGATTTTCTACGTCCACTATGATTATCTTCATCACTTCCATTGTAGTTGTCGCGCGATTTTCTACGTCCACTATGATTATCTTCATCACTTCCACTGAAGTCGTCGCGCGATTTTCTACGTCCTCCATTATTATCTTCATCACTTCCCCTGTAGTCATCGCGTGATTGTCTACGTCCACCATAGCCTTCTTCATCACATCCTCTTTCAGAACCCAACTGCAAGTGAAGAAAGTATTTTTTAGCTTTTTTTTTTTAAAAAGCTTAAATGCACTGATAGTGTAAGAATTTTTACACAATTAATTACTACTTCCTCCGTTTCAATTTATGTCAACCTATTTCCTTTTTGGTCCATGCCAAAAAGAATGACCTCTTTCCTTATTTGGATACAATTTACTTTTATGCAATGATTTATAGCCACACAAAATATAGGTGCCTCATTTTACACCACAAGTTCAAAAGTCTTCTCTCTTTTCTTAAACTCCGTGCCCAGTCAAATGGGTTCACATAAATTGAAACGGAGGGAGTATATATTATCTCGTTATAACAGATTACTTGTCTTATTTTGCAGATCACACTTACTATATATAGACTCATATTTGTAGTTATCTTTTAGGTGATCGAATAGTAAATTTTATTTTTCACTTTTGGTAAATAGAAGTTAAACTCCTTGTGTAATCATACTCAAGATTGTTTTTGTCATATGAGTTTAACTTAAATTCATTGATAGTTAAAGAAATTACACTATTGATTGCCTTTACCTGTTGTAGAAAATAAGACATCTTATTTTTAAAATTACAATTTTACTTTTTATGATGTTGTAGCAAATAACCTATCTTATTTTCAAAATTACAATCTTACTTTTTATGACGAATTATTTGTAGATATTTTTTCGATAGTCCGATAGGCGATAGTACACTATGATATATATAAGTTAAACTCTTGTTACATAATATTCTTACCTCAGCAGTGAAAGTAAGGCCAAGTTTTAGCTCTCCGCAATATTCTTCATCTTTGATAACATTGTAAGAGCGTGTTGGCACTTCCCGTTCACGAAACACTTCATGTAAGGAAATTCTGTTTCAATTAACAAAACCACAAAATATAGACCAAAAAAATTTACAATTAGATATATATCATTAATGTCAAAAAAATAATGTTCATATAAGAGGATAACGAATAAGAAAGATTATTAACGTTGCTTCTCCAACAAAATCATCCGAACTGAATGTATCTTTATCCATAATCCTGAGGGTGATCTCTTCGACACCCTGACTGATGGTGAAAAGGAAAGTCTCATTCCATTCAGGTTCAGATCCTTCACCTGTAGCCAATTAATATTGAGATATTTGTTCTATGTTAATAAATTGGATAATATTCAATCTGAATATACCATAGAGATATGTAACATTCAAGTTTTTATTATAGTAATCAATAACACACCTGATGCAACACTACTTTCCTTCTCTTGAGTCCGGCAGGTGATGACAACATAAGGATTCATACTAGCTGTTGAAATTCGAAAAATCAATCAAATTCATTTAACTAAGAGATTGAAGGATTAGTAACCTAGAAAATAAAGAACGAGGAGCAAATGCATATGCCTACTAAATTAAAGGACAAATCAAAGTTGCATGGATAAATATAGGCTTCCTGCTGTAAAGGACATGATAATTAAAGTAGCTGTAACCATGCTTTCTTTGAGCCGAGGGTCTATTTGAAACAACCTCTCCACTTTCATAAGGTAGGGGAAATGTCTGCGTATACACTACTCTACTATGCTTTCTTTGACCCCACTTGCGGAATTACACTAGGTATGTTGTTGTTGTTGAAGTTGCTATTAGCGATCTGTTGATGTGATTTATTATATACATGCAGGTATATCATATATACGTACATATATAAATTATATATTTGCATATATAAAATTAAGATCTAAACAAGAATCCTTTGGGTGGCCAAAGGTGAAGGAGAACAACAGTTCGTTTTCTCTTCCAAATTTTTTATTGTGTAAAAAAATCTGCATTGAATCATCTTAGATGAAATGCTCAAACAGGATAAATAGAATGAAAAAATGGCGTGTATGAGGAATCATACTGAGCCAATTTTGGTCTTCAAGGCCTTTGGCATTTCCAAGAATAACTTCAAGCGTTCCAGTTGGCATCTTCTTTGGATCGAATTACTTTGACAGAAACAGAACAAAATAGTGGAAAGATGTAAAGGTTTCAATTCAGACCTATTTCCTGTTTTGAATGATGGCCCTTTAGACCTGCTCAATGCTCGTTTTATAGTTAACTACCCCAATCACTGCAATCCACGTGGTTGTTGTTTAAGAAAACAATATTTGACAGATATTTCAAAACTTATAGTAAAAACTGATTACATTTTTCAAATTTTAGTAAAAAACAAAAATCCCCTTTTCAATAACAATCAAATACCACAGTTAAAACCCGTATAGGATCCAATTGATTGTCCTACAGAGAGAAGCTGTGGCAATTTCTGGGCGATTTTGAGGTGATTAGCTTCGTAGCTCCTCTCATGGCCTCGCCGGTCACTGGCCAGCCTTCTCCTGAGGTTGGTCATTCGTCTTCTTCACCCCCACAGTCCCAAAACATTCATTACAAACCCTAATCCACCTCCAAAGTACGCTCAATTACTACGACCAAAGACATTAAGTGCTCCCATGCAAACCCTACCCATCGTCCCTCTAAATGCTGTCGAGTATTTACATGGTGAACCAATTATTAAGTGGAAGAAGTCTAAAATGAAGAAATCCATTATACAACAGGGATTGAGTCTGGAGTGCTTGGCAAATTTTCATATGGCAAGCCAGTTATCAATGAACTTTACAAGGTGACCCCAATCCAATGTGAACTAAAAGGTGCGTGCACAATTGGCCTTATTGAAGACAACCATGTTTTGATTAGGTTTTCATTGCTAGAAGATCATGTCCACCTGCTTTGAAAGCCTGCATTCTACTTAAAAGCTCAAGGGGAGATGTGGCAAATGAGGTGCATAAAATGGAATCCATGGTGGAAGCCTGAAGAAGAAACTCCAATTGCCATTGCGTGGATTAGTTTTCCAAAATTGCCTCCTAATTTCTTTGGTAAGGAGTTTGTATTTTCTTTGGCTAGTGCTGTAGGGAAGCTTTTACATGTTGACCTAGCTAGTCAAAATGGTACTAGGCCTAGTTCTGCAAAGGTGAAGGTTGAAGTTAATTTGTTAGCTAAGTTCCCTCAAAGAACTAGAGTTGTTGAGGAAGAAGATGATTCTGGGCCTAAAGAATCAAAGTGGATCAAAACAGAGTATGATTATATGCCAAAATATTGTAATACTTGTAAAAAGAAAGGACACGATAAATATGATTGTTGGGAAATTCATCCTAAGTTACACAAGAATTTTGAGGAAGTTCTTGATGATCAAAGCTAAGTAAAGGAAAGGACATTCTGGGAATTGCTGCTGCTACTACTACTAAGGTGTTATCGAGTGGTAAGGTGTTAGGAAAACCTATTCCTAATAATGCAAGACAAGAATGGATGCAAAGGAGACAAAATAAATATCAAAGAGATAAAAGAGGCCATATTATTGATAGTGCAAATGATAAAGAAGGTGACAAGGGCAAGGAGAAGAACAAGGAAGATGCTCTGGTTACTATGAACTCGTTTGATGTGTTAAATGTGCATGAAGAGGAAATGGAAACGCTGATGATCACTGATGGTAAAGAAGCCTAGTCCACCAAGGAGCTGAGGAACAAAACAGGAGTGAAGCCACCAAATTCCAGTTTAAATCCTAAGGAGAATATGAGTAATAATACTGCATTAATAAAACAAGGAGAAGAAGAAGCCAAACGGATTAAAAAAGAGGCTATCTTGAATGTAGAAAATAGGGAGAAAGATGAGATAAATAAGGAGAAGAAGTCGAATCCTACACCGACTAGGGAGTTAGTACAAACAAGAATGGGGTTCAAGATCCGGCAAAGGAAAGTTTTCCTAATCCTACTAATACAAGGATTGACGAGGCTACCAAGAAGGAATCAACCATTGAATGGGTGCATAGGAGATTTGGTACGAGTAAGGAGGAGCTTAGAGAGCTTCATGTTCCATCTCAAACTTATGAGGATTTTGGAAAGAATGAGGCAAATATTGAAGTTAACTCTGGGAGATCTTTATGGAGTGATGAATTTGATGATATGGAGGCACAATCAGGCACAACAATTACTACAAGAGGAAAAGAAAAGAAAGACAACATGCAGGAGCAACTAGTAGGCACAATTAACCCTAGTGGTACAGTAAACCCTAGTATCCTGGAGACTACGGTTGATGGTTGCCAATGTTCTAATAATCACAAACCAATACCACCAACTGGAGTTGATAAAGGATTATCAAAAAGAAGCTAGAACAACTGGAGGATCAGCTATTGAAGCTTCAGCTAAGAAGTAGGCCAATGTAACAGTAAACCCTGGTGAAACTATTGAGGTTTTGGCTAATGTTGAAGGTGTTCCAACGGAGCTTTCAGGTGGTGATCAAGTTGAAGATGTTCATATGGAAGTATTAGAGGCTACAGTGTGGTCAGAACACCAAACATATGGTGGCAAGGCAAATGATCCTAATGGAACATTAATTCCTGCGAGTAAAAGGGGTGACTGTGAGCTTTGACGATAAGGAATTCGGAGAAATTCTAGGAGTACCTGCTGAAGGGTACAATGATTACAAAAAGTTAAAATGGCCAAGCCTAGAAAACCTCCCCAATTCACTTGCCATTACAAGAAAGTTTTCTAACAATAAGGAGGAACTTCAGCCCAAGGCTATTTACAAAAGTGAGATGAGGTCTGCCCACAAAGTGCTATTTGAATTTGTTAATAAGGTACATATTAAGATCAAATTGAGAGCCTTGGTGTAAGAGAGTAGGGCCAAGGACACTGATATTGAGAGACTAAAGAAGAGGCTGGCTGAAGTAGAATCTGAGAGGGATGCTCACAGAGCTGAACTTGCAAAGAAGAAGGAAAAGAATGAAGGCATTCTTCATGATATGTTAAAGCTACTTCAGGCCAAAAACCAAGAACTTGGTCATTCCCATGGTTGAAACCTTCCTAGCCTAGTTAGACAAACAGTGATCCGGACGGGATTTGTTTTCTTTTTGCTCACGATCCAGTATCTTTAATTTTCTTTATGATTTGTGGATGACTAGGATCAATGATAATCAACTGTTTTTGTGCTCTAACTGTTTGTTGATGCTTTTTAGATAGCTAATATTATTGGATTAATATATGATGTTTGGTTCCATGATTGCATTTGAAATAGTCCCAGTGGTCATGAGTGATATCTATTAAAATCTGGTTATCTAACATAATTATGCAACTTTTTGATGATGACAAAAGGGGGAAGATAGGTTGTGCTTTTTTACTTTCGATTGTGATGTTTATAACCTAATGAACATGGTCCTCGATAATTTGTGACTTTAAAGTGGAAAGTGTTCTAACATTGTGTTGATGCTGAGGTAAGTTGAAATAGGTCTTATGCTTATGAAAAGCACAGAATTTGTCATCATCAAAAAGGGGGAATTTATTGGCCTAAGTGAAGTTTATTTTGATGATTGACAAAGGAACTCAAGCATGAACCAGGTCCATGCACAGTGTACACAGACATAGGCATATTCGAGCACAAGGCATGCACGTGAAAGAGATAAGCTTAAGTGGTTATATCTGATATCTCCTGAATGAAAATGTTGCATAAGTAATAAGGATAAGGACTCCTTACTCGAAAAGAATTCTATCCTAGATAAAGGAGGAGTTAGAAGTTGAAGATAACTAGAACTCTTCCACCAAGGAAGAGTAAAGCATTAGACTTATAGTTATTTCTTATTCTAGTAACTCTATATATTCTAGGATCTTCTAATTTTACAGGCATGCACAAATGCTGGAGTTAAATGTTTGTTGAGAGCAAAATTGCAAGTCATTTTGCAAGCAATTCCTGTGTAATTCAAGTGTGCGAACCTGAAGCTACATGAACCAGATAGAAGAAACAATTTCAAGTGTTTGTCTTTTATTCTAGTTTCATTGTAGTAGGGTTTTTGAGTTGTACTTTTTTTTAGCTTTATCTAGAAGCAATTGTCTTGGTACTCTGAGTGTTGTATTCAAGTCAGAGTTAACTTGAAGCTGTCACAACAACTAGAAGTTTGTTACCACAAAGGGTTAGAGGTAATCCTTGGGTTTACAAAGAGTTTTGTGACTGCTGTTTTGGTTCAATGATTTAGTAAAGTGTTGGAAAAAAAATCCTATTGAGCAGTAGGTCGTGGGTTTTTCACCTTTTGAGTCGGGTGGTTTTCACGTAAAAGTATTTGTGTTTTTTACTTTTGGCATTTATTATTTCATAACAGTAATATAAGGAACACATAGAACAACCAGGTCTTTCTATAATCTGTGTACGCGAAAAATTGGACACCATACAAATCACCCCTGTTGTATGGTATTGAAGTATAAAACATCACTTGTGTATTTATCGTTATATGTTTTCATTTAAAATGTATTTCCGTATGAATATCTTGTTATGTTTTATTGAATTCGAATGAGTTAGACATATTAGGTTTCAGTCGCTTGGTGGCGTAAAAGACGAATACCGGTCATGAATCCTTCAAATTTTGGATCATGCAATTTTTTTATTGGATAAAGATGATTCAAAATTGCTCTTAGCAAATGTAACCTTCGTGATTTATTGTCTGATGTTATTAAAAATTTTACTACTATAATATATCTTTATAACTATTGGGTTAGACAAGTCCAAAGATCGATACTTTTAATAATAGTGTAATATTATTTGTTTTAAACTAAGTCGAGGAGGATTTTTTCTAAAAAGGTCTTGTAACATTAAAAGATCCTTATTAAGTTCCACGTGACTACTATTACGATCCAAGAGTTTCTCCTTCGAATGTTCGCACGCACAACAAAATCTCCGTCGAACTAAGTTTCATGTGGCCCACTATCACAATATGCATATCTCTTCCTCGAAATAAGTCCATGTGGCTCATTACCTCGATACAAGGTTAATTTTTGAGCTCCACGTCACGCCATCACTCTGCGATCGCCTTATTCGTCCCGTCAAACCTAAGCTTTGATATCAGTTGTTGGGCTAAACTAACCCAATGATACTTTTAGCATTGTGTGATATTGTCTGCTTTGGCTCAAATCCGCACATTTTTTCCTCAAAAAGCTTCAACTATAAAGAGATACTTACACCTAACTA